AAATATCGATGAGAAAGTTTACATTCCAAAAGAAATGGTACGAAGAGTACATATATATGACTGGAATATTCAATGTAACAACTGCAAGATTACATACGAGCATCATAGCAGCGAAGAGATGGAAAGGAAAGAGTCTAGAGAAAGGGTCCAAAAGAAAGTTTCCACCTTGGATTTGCTTGCCCTCCTTGCTCGAAGTTTTCAGCAAAGATGATCTGCACCACCTTCATCCCGACTTGTTTGAGGTCGCTACCTTGCCTGTGACAGTGGCATCATGTGAACGCACACACAGCAAGGTCAAAATAATAAACAATAATTTGCGAGTTGCTATGTCACCTGATAGACTCGAGGACCTTGTCTAGATTAGCAACGAACGAGATCTAGCCAACAATATTGAACTTAGCAAATTAGTGGAAATATTTAAGCTTGCAAAACCTCATAAGCTTGTCATGCAAGGAGATCTACGATAACATATAGCCATTATTATTCTACCTAACAGTTATTTTCATTTGTATTTAAATATAAAATAATGTTGACTTCAATTTTCCTGGAAGTAGCAATTCCTTTAGGCAGCTGTCAATCAATGTAATCGTAGTCAATAGAATAAGAAGGTTAGGGAACTCGATGCAGACATAATAGAGCTATCTATGTTTTTGTCTTGGTTTATGCAAAAAAAATATGGTCGGTTCATCGTCATGTGTGTATTGTATTTTTATTTTGCTAGAGTAACCAATAGTTACTATGTTTTTGTTTAGCTATTGTGTAATATTACGACCGGGTAATTAAACATGACGATGAACCGATCGTTCCTTGCATAAACCAGACAAAAACATAGATAATGAGGTCTTTTACTGTATGTCTGCATCGAGTTCCCTATCCTTATTCTTTTGACTATGATGTAATACTGCATTTGTAGGTATTATATATACGTATAGTCATGAAAAAATCGTGTGTTTTTTACTTTATAATTTTCGGAATTCTGAATAATCTCACCCTGAAAATGCAGGAAATCGCATTTCAGGGACTCTAGATTTCAAAAATTTTCCGGGGGGGCATGCCCCCGGACCCCCCTAGAAGTGTCTCGCGCCTTCACCGCTCGAAAATCCCCCCCACTTTTAAAAGGCTGGCGCCGCCACTGCTTCTATGGTCCACCCAATATGATAAATATTAGTTACGATTGCATAATGTCGCGACGACATATTGAACCACATCACAATGCTATCCAAATCAGTTGTCGCTACATTTAGCGAATGTTTCAAATGACGGTAGTCGGTTAGCTACACGTACATAACTATAGTTACAGAATATTATTTTAAAGTCATGAAAAACAGCCTATACATCAAAGCACTGAATATAGTTCCCGTAATCCTGTACATTTCGCCGTAAACTGTCTACCGGGAAATCCCAAAAAAACTAAAATATATCATTACCTAATGCAAGTGTGCAAATAGTATATACATACATGAAACTCCAGTGGTCTGAACTCATTGTTTCCTGGCTGAAGTTCTGCGAACAGTTGCAAGCAGTTTATGCCATTTAAAATAAGTATGTGGTCCCCCTTAATTATTGAGTACCTTATAAGCTCGACTTTGGGCTTAGTGTTGGACAAAGCTCGAAAGTCAGCCGCCGAGAAGCTCAAAGACGGCGATACGACGGACGAAAAATTACGAGACGTCATAGTCGCAGATCTTAACGATATCAAGACAAAAATCGACGCACTCTCGCGAAAAGATTTGCGCTCAAGTTATTCCTTTCTGCAAGAGGGGGTGGCAACACTTAATCTCGCTCTGGACGAAGACGAACAGACAAGTAAAAACGAAACAAACGGTGCACAAAATAGTGACAGATCATCAAGAATCACAACTGAAAGCGAAAGTGCGTCTGGAGTTCTCAACGAAGCCATCGCACTCTCACACGCCATTCAGACGCTCAATAACACGTCAAATGGTCGACTTGTTTCTGCAAAAGAAAGCTTCAAAACCGCAAGGGAAGACGCCACTCGAGCATTCTGTAACGAAGCCTTGAGCTTGCCGGATAGAATCATGGCGGCAAAACTACGTGTCGCCTCGAAGATTCTGGAATGTCTTCAAGACACAAAAGTGGCGGCCGTTGGTTGCATGTTGTTCTTGGAAGAGCTTCATAGCCTACCAGCAGTCGGAGAAACATTCTCTAAACATTTCAAAGGCGGGATAAAATCCTTGGTCTACAAAGATTCACGGTTGGAAAACGTGAGATCTGTACTCTCCTTAAACTTTGCTACATCAGAATTTGTTGCGAGGTTTTCTGGTGAGTTACCTAACGTCAGAAACTGGCCCAGAATACATCTGTCTACCAGAAGCGAAACGATCCACCCGCTATTTGTCGACCTTGATGTTGTCATGGAAATTTTTGACATGGAGAAATTTCAACCGCCAGAAAATCAAGTAATTTCAACCGAAATAGATTCGTGGAATTGCCACTGTACAAATCACCAAGGACAGCTTCTAGGTTCATACGAATTTGACAAGCATGTAAGTATTTTGAACAGATCAGGGCAATTGAATACGTTCTGTCATGTTCGACAAGCTACAGAAAATTTTGAAGGCAACAGCCAAAACGTAGCGGCGTTAGCCATCGATCGTTACGACAACGTGTTCGTTATCATCAAATTTGAAGACTGCACTGGAAATAAATATGTGTATGTTCTGTTCGTTTTCGATTCCAGTGGCAATGAGAAATACGAACGTGTGTTAAAATTCCTTGAAACGTTTTCACCCGTTAAATGTGCGGTGGACAACGATGGCGATATCATAATCCACCTCCAGTGTAGGGAAGATCATCTTTACGTCTGCGACAACAACGGCAATTTTAAATGTTACTTGTCACTTGAGCAAAATGCCGACTACGAATTAGGAAGCTTCACTTCCCTGGCATGTGTCACGGACCAGAAAGAAATAGCAATGATGTGCGGAACGACGAATACCTCTGTGGATAAAGTGCTTGTTTATACGAAAGATGGAAAGCTAAAACGAACGATAAAGGTCAAGGGCTCGGTGCAGGGCGTAACATACAACGATTCCACGTCAAAAATAGAAATTTTGGTAAGAAAAGAATCAATTTTTGGAAAAAGACAGTCCTACTCCATTCTTAGCTACAACGAAAATGACGAAGTTGAATGTTTGTGTTTACCGGTACACAGATTGGGATGGTATGAAAAGTTTTGCTCGTGTCCTGCAGTGTTTATCTACTGTAACAGCCCTGGGACAGACTTTAAAGTAATATTTATGTAAGTTGAACTTTTGAACCAAGGTCGAATTTTGGTGGAAATAGTGGGGGAGGTGGAAAAAAATTTAGGGGAGATGCAGCAGTCTAGCTCACGATCCCCATGGAAAGTTAGGGCTTGGAACGAGCCAAAGTCAACGTCGTGACGTATGCATGTAGTGTACATAATTATGTATCCAGTATATTAATGAATTATGACTGTACAACTTATCCAATTTTGCCATTCATTACAATTACTATACAACGTTTCTTTCAAAACATTGCATTAAAAGGGTACTTGACACAGAGATGAATGGCTATCACTGTTTCAACTTTATAGAAAAACTTTCTTACGAAGTGTTGACCCTAAGCAACCAAAAAATGTCAAATTTTCACTTTGATCTATCATTAAAACTTCCTCAAGGGGAGGTGCATGACTTTTCAGGGGAGATGCAAAAATTCTCAGGGGAGGTGCAAAACGATCTCATGGCAGGTGCGCACCTCCCACACCTCCCCTCAAAATCAGGCCATGTTTTGAACGGAAATAACGAAGAACTGAATAATAAGAAGTCCAGGTAGACTGGGCTAAATTGCTGATTGCCCAATAAGAAGTCTCCCTCGATATATGTACAGGGCTAAATTGCCCATTGAACTATATTTGACAAGGTGTTTACAGTAACAGTACTTCAGTTCCCTCACAAATTCCTATTGTGATCACAGAAACTTTGAGAATGTCCTATCTGAGAATGTCATACCTTTTCCCTCCCAGTTCAAGAGTGACTTTCGAGAGATGTTCGGCAGCTGCTCTCATGATAATCTTCCCAACCATAGTGCTACCAGTATAAAATATGTGATCAAATCTACATTTCAATATCGCTGTTGTTTCTTTCACCGCGCCTTGCATTACTACATAACAGTCCTAGAAAATATTTGAACAATTTTTGGTTGTACAAATTTGTACATAATTTGGATCTGTTTTAATAATAAACTAACTAAACAACTTTATAAACTAAATCTAACTTTATTTATACTATAGCTCTATCAGTTCTAAACTGTTCTTCCTAGAGGTCCAGTAAGGATCACTTCTTATTGATCCAATGTTACTACAGGAGGAAACCTAAACTAAACTAACTTTATTTATACTGGATAGCTCTATCAGTTCTAAACTGTTCTCCCTAGAGGTCCAGTAAGCATCATCTCTTATTGATCCAGTGTTACAACAGGAGGAAACCTAAACTAAACTAACTTTATTTATACTGGATAGCTCTATCAGTTCCAAACTGTTCTCCCTAGAGGTCCAGTAAGCATCATCTCTTATTGATCCAGTGTTAATACAGGAGGAAACCTAAACTAAACTAACTTAATTTATACTGGATAGCTCTATCAGTTCCAAACTGTTCTCCCTAGAAGTCCAGTAAGGGACGTCTGTTATTGATCCAGTGTTAATACAGGAGGAAACCTAAACTAAACTAACTTAATTTATACTGGATAGCTCTATCAGTTCCAAACTGTTCTCCCTAGAAGTCCAGTAAGGGACGTCGTTACCTTGTCAAGATATTTTAAAACCAGCAATTCAACCAATGCTGCCGTGTTTGCAGAGAGCTCCGATGGTTTTAACAACACACAATTCCCTGACAAAAAAGCACCATATCATATGCTTGTTATACTTTATAAGTAGAACGTTTTATTTCACATGGCATTTTACTCAATGCCTTTCAAGGTCTTTCAATCGAGGTTCAGATTTGGAGGGTAACCTCTATGAAGGAATACTATGCAACAAGAAACAGAATATAGTATCAATGATGTGTAGTTCAGATGTTGCAATAGGCCTCATGCACCCATTAATTACAGGTGCCTTCTTGATAAATTGGCGCTCTTGAGATTGGATACACACGTTCGCAACAGGCTTGTAGCAAGCTTGTCAACAAGTTGTGACAATGCTGTTATTTTATCAAGCCACTACAAGATTGTCACTCACAACTTGTTGACAAATTGTTGAATTGCAGGACGGCATCAAGTTGCTGGAAAAACTTGTAGCAAGTTTGTTGAGCTCAACAACCTTGTAGCAAGTTGTCAACAAGCCATTGACAATCTGTCAACAAGCTGGGAACAAGCAGTGCGAACGCATCCTTTGACAAGTTGTTGGAACAGCATTGCTACAAGTCTGCTGCAAGTTTGTTACAACTTGTGCGTTTTTACGTGTGTAGACAGGGCCCTCTATATCAGACTGTAATATTGCCGTACAGTACCTCTGGTATGTAAAATATGTGATTTATCCCACCCTGTGATGATTTTAAGAAATCGAATATAGCAAAAAAAAAACCACTCAAAGTCCAAGTTATGGACGGGAATAACTGACAGAAAAGTGAGTATCATACAGTGAGTATACAAGAACAAGTATTACCTGCAGCTATTGCAGCCAAAAGTGGTCCAAACGTAAGCTGTGTGGGGTAATTCCATGCACCAATAATCAACGATACACCCAGTGGTTCATAGGTATTGTAGATTGTGTTCACCTTATTGATCATGTTTTTAGGAACATAATCTCTCTTTGTCCAATCATCAATATTGTTGATGGCTAAACACAAATGAATATTATTTCTGAATTTTAGATCACCCTTTGCCCACCCCTGACCTAACTGTGCCAATTGTCCTCATGTCCTTCTAGTTGGGGGAATTGGCTAACTACCCAAAAGCCCGACATGCCCACCATGACATTTGGTAGAGTAAAGCTGTATGTGTTACACTGTACTCAAGGCCGGCGAGAGTCAACCACGGGCCCCGGGACAAAATGACGATTTGTGAACACGGGCCCTTGTCCCTCTGGAAATTGCTGATGATAAACAATATATGAACATTTTACCGAGATTTCCGGGCCCCTCTGAGCACTCCGGGCCCCTCGCCGGCCTTGACTGTACTGATTATGCACAAATTCATATGTGAACAAAAGTCGGTAAAATCGTCTGGTTTTGGACAGAATAAATTGTTAAAGGGTCATGATCAACCACAATGCAATGCACGCTTTTGTTTATGTTTTTCAGTTACTTTCCTCAATAGTTGCCGCCATTTTCAAGGCCACAAAATGGCTAATGGCCCTCTGGCCCACAACGTAACAGAAACGTAAACAAACGTATGCATTGCATTGTACATTGTTGATAAAGATTTGGGTAAATACTTGCCGTCACAAACTTCACTTAAAACATACTCTACTTCCATTAATATGGACTCCGCAGCTGGCTGCAAAAGAGTGAACACAATATTAAACTATGTTCCATTCAAATAGGAACATATTAAAGTACCCAAATGTTGAAGCATTCAAAGCCATGTTGGTTAGATGCATGCTTATGGCTGCCACCGTACAAAATCATACATTTTGATTCACAAGATATATTATAAGCAACAGTTGGCTTAAATAATAATATCACAAAAAAGTTGAATTTTCCCCAGGTGGGCAGCAAGGGTAATTGAACTGATAACATGGCATTATCCATGCCCCTACCAGTGATCAAACCATGCCCATGTTTGCCTGCACCCCTCCCCCACCACACACACACCCTGTGCCAATTACAACCAGCTTTTACCTTTCTAAGATCTTCCTGCATGGCTCCGATAATATCATCTTTATTCTCTTTCAAGAGGTCGTGCAATCTTTGTAGTTGCTGCTTGCGAAATTCGATTGGTCTCGTCTTTCCGCTTTTGAACGAAGCACGTAACTTGCGTACAACCTGGATACATAAATATCACAAATGGAAAAGATGCTGTCAACAATGAATTGTACCACGTAGTCATTCTAGACATGGTTTGAAACTGAACCAAAGTCTTTGTTCTATTGTTGCATTCATATTCATGTAAATTTGTGAATGCTGTGAAGATAATGAATTTTCGGCATAACAGCTGACGTTTGAGGTGCATGGTCATGTACGTCGGCATGCATGCGGACTTACTAACTGATGAAAAGTTTACCATTATGCCATCAAGTACAGTGGAATGCCATCAATAGGGCCAAGGATGGGGAAAAAGTTTGGTGGTTTTAACAGGTAACAGGATATCTTTATAAGAAAAGGGATTGTCTCGGCATTTTTGGGGGACAAAAATAAGTGGCTGTAATAAGGAGATGACCATATTAACGGGGTGGCCGGCCTTCTGGTACAAATCATGCTAATATGAGCTGTATTGAACTGAGCATGCTCACTGATGTTGAACATGCCCCACAATCACAACACACATTTTGGTTCTTTTAAAATTTGTGACAATTTTTTTCCTTGGTGCTTAACAGCTAGTACCTGGTTTGTAGAGGCTGATCCTTGCTTGCAGAAATATGAACATTGCATAATGTAAATCTACTAGGAAAGCTGTTGCCATTTGACCATGGGGTTTTTGCAAGTGTTGATGGTATAAAGACATGGTGATGCATGTTTGTAGCTAGAATTCATTAAGTTTTGATGGTGTATTTTGTGGTCAAAATTGGATAACAGGGTGTTAAATCATTTGACATTTACGAACAGAATACAATGTCAAATGTTGCCCTTGAAGGCTAGTTTCCACTCAGGAAAATTATCCGTGGATTGGAACGGACAAGAAAATTTTTCTTTGTGTTAAAGTCATTAGTTCCAACCCAGAGCTCACAAGACAATCCACAGATAATTTTCCTGAGTGGAAACTAGCCAAGTGAATGAAACTAAATTAGTGCTTTGTCGTTATCATATGCCTGAACAGTGAAGGTCAATCAAGGGTACTTGATAACAAACGGGCTCAAAGTACAAACTTTACATATTGATATGATTGATACATATACAAACTTATATTTGATATGGCACAGGTACAAATATATAATAAATATGGATATGCATGCCTGAGTGGCTTGGAGATTAAAGATTTAGGCACATGGAGATCATAGTATCATACTATAAATATTAAAGGTATAAAAGAGTAGTTTTAACATACAAAAAATTGCTATATGTTTGCTTTTCGCGTAGTCTCGCTTCTTTATATTAAATAAGGATTATTAACATGCACCGAATATATTTTAATTCAGCGCGGTATATATCGATAGGAAATTATGCAATTTATACAGTATTTATTTTATACATCATGGACTATTGACAAAGTCACAAAGAGATCAAAGGTACAGTAACTATCTGTATAAAAATGTTCTCAAAACGAACTTACAATTTCAGGATCCATTATGTGTTTTCTGAAGGGAAATTCTTAGTGTGAACTGGGATCAGACTTTCAGACTCTGCAAAAGACGACGGAAATATTCACCCGAACGCTTGTCTATCAATGAAGGTAATTTATTAGGTATTAATATAAACTAAATACTGGTGACGCACACGGCACACGCAACCAATATCATACACTCGGACATTTTGCCCTAGATACAAAATCCGGTGATTACCAACCAAACGTTCCTCTGGGAAAAACCAGCATGGGCAAAGATGAAAGAAAAAGCACAAACGAACGAACAAACTGAACCAAATGAACATCCTGATTGGGAAAACAAATTAACAGACAAAAAAAGCAAAGAGAAAGAAAGTAATAAAGACTAACAAACAGAAGAAAATATAAAATAGAAGAGGCCTGATAGAAAGAAATTTGCCCGACTTTTTTGCATTTTGCCCGACTCGAACAATTCACAAATTTCTTGTCGACGGGGGGGGGGGTTGGAAAATTTCGAAGGAGTTTGAAATTTTTCGAAACCTTGAATATTTCTTGCATTTTCAAAGACTATTATCTTAAATATTAAGGCTTACTTTTCAATTTATTTCCTCATCTTTTTCCCGACTTACGTTTTTCTTATGTCCAACTTCAATTTTTCCTGGAGGCTCGGCTCCCCGTCCCTCCCCTCCCTTTATCCCCCCCCCCGTCTCACAACAATCAAAATAGAGAATCCAAAATCTCTATGCAAGATGAAGTATAACTGTTATACCTCTTACTGGCGCGAAATAAAAAAGAAACCAAAATGGCGGCCGTAGGAGCGAGCTTTGTGACCGATGTTTTACAAAAATCAGGGCGTTTAGAAAAGGAAGATTTGCAAACAAGCGTTGGAAACCTTTCACGAAAGGCAGACGATGTTAAGGTTGTTAGATTTTTGTACAAATTGCTTTCTACGGTTCTTAATTTATGTTTGATTTGTGTATAAAATGTATACGTATTTTTGCACAGTACTACTTATTTCGATTTGTTTTTAGTTGGTTTTCTACTTTTCTAGACCCGAGTCTATTCGTTAATCCTAAAACAGTACACGGAATTTAAGCAGTCGTGTGATTTAACAATGGAAATGAATTCTAAAGTTCAAGAATTATCCACAGAAATGAATTCTTTAAATGAAAAAATTAAGGTTGGTTGGATGCAGCTCTGATGAACCATATGTTATTGGTGGTCTATCTGTATTTCACCTTTTCCACCGGGCCAGACTGAAAAGTTTTATTTTGCACAGGCAATTTTTTTTTTCTTCGGAAAAATTCTCGGAAATGTCAGATCTTTTCACAGAAAATTTACGGCAGACCAAGGAATCCTGCAGTCAGAAAGTGTTTTTCCCCAATAGGGAGATCAGAAATCTTCTTGGTTCTTGGTCTGCAAAGGCATTTTGTGCAGACTCTCAAGAAATGATTGGTGCAGTTCTTTTACAATTTGAAAACATTTTGTGTAGATTTCCATAATAGACCTTTTTAAAAAGTCTGCCTTGTGATGTACTTTGTGGATAAAGGAAAACCCCACACAGCCATTTGGCTTGCCCAATTGACCAAATGATCATATTTATCAGCAAACTACATTACAGATGAAGGCAGACTTTTTACAGTCAAATCGGATGTTCTCTTGCGAGCAACATTGCAATATTGTCCCACAATATTGCAATTTTGTTAGGCAGATTGCTCTGAGCAATTTGCAACCGACGCGAACAAATTGCAAGTTGAAATTCACAAAAGATTTGTAAACAAAGCCAGCTCTGATTGGACAGAGCAATCTGCCTATCAAAATTGCAATATTGTGGGACAATATTGCAAATATGTTGCTCGCAAAGGAACATCCGGTTTGACTGTAAAAAGGTCTATTGCAAGTATTTTTGCACAGGAAATTAATTTCCTCCAAAGAAAAAAAAATGAAATCTGGTGAGCTAGCTGGTTGTCAAATGTTTTATTATTTTAGGGAGATGTTGAGACTCAACTTCAAAAAGCAAACAGTTTATATACAGATCTTTCTGAACAACTAACTGAAACCAATCTCATCATCAATGTTTTAAAGAAATTGTGTCAGGTACATTTGTTGGAGAAAGGTTTTGGGCCGTTTTGAAGTGAAAAAAAACCCAACATACATATAGTCTTCAAGTTTAGACACTTGTTGAGATGTGAGCATTTGAAATTCGGGCTAGTTCTTATTGCTGAGCTATTATGGTCTCAATGTTTTAACAGATTCATGATTCAATGTCAAAGCTGTCTCTTTTGAAAATTTGCAAGGCGTATGACAAAGTTTTGCAGATTTTGCAACTTGTGGTAGGTGGTGTGTTATTTCTACAGTCGGCCAAAATAGTAGCGTAAAAAAAATATTTTCTAAAAAAACGTGCAGTTTTAGTCACTTGTTAAAAATTTGTAGATGTAATAATAAGATGGGAATGAGAACTCTGAGTTGTAACTTTTAGAAAAGTCTCCTTGATGATCTACCAAGATCTGGGGCTGAGAGCAAGATTTTTAGAACAATGAGGGTAATATATATCTTATTTTATGGTTGTGTATGATGACATCACCATAATTAATCACTACCACCATCATCAACACCATTATCATCACCATCATTATCACCATCATTATCACCATCATCAGTATCATCACCACCATCCTCACCATCATTGTCATCACTCCCATCATCACCATCACTACTATCATCATCATCACCACCATCATTGTCACCACCACTATCATCACCACACATATTACCATCACCATCATTACCATCATCAACACCATCATCATTACCGTTACTATCATCATTGTCATCATCACCATAACCATTACCATCACCTTTACCATCATAATCACCACCATCATCAACACCATCATCATTATCATTGTCATCATCATCACCATCATCATTACCATCATCATCACCATCACTACCATTATCACTGGTCACCACAATCATCACCACACCATTACCATCATCACTATTATCTTTACCATCATTATTACCATCATCATCACTATTCTTACCATCATCATTACCATCATCACCACATCATTACCATCATCACTATCATCTTTACCATCATTACCATCATCATCACTATTATTACCATCATCACCATCATCATTACCATCATCACCACACCATTACCATCATCGCTATCATCTTTACCATCATTATTACCATCATCATCACTATTATTACCATCATCACCATCATCATTACCATCATCATCACTATTATTACCATCATCACCATCATCATTACCATCATTATTACCATCATTAACGCTACAACCACAATCACCGCCACCCAAATTAACACTTCAGTTCTACCGTCCCAAGGCTGAATACCTGACAGAATACAGTGAGTTTCTCCAGACCCTGGATAGGTTGTGGAACAAATCTATTATTTGGCAAACAACAACAACACCATCCTGGGACAACATTGATGGACACCTTAAAACAGAGTTAACCATATCCACTAGTATGTCACCAATAACTACGCTGTATTAAGTTTCTAAACATCGTGAAGTCTAAGAATTTGGAGTGTTTTTTTTTCTATGTAGGTGATACAGCAGACATAAAATTGGCTTTGCAAACAATGCAGGTATTTAAGTACTTTGCAAAATTGTCCTACAAAATTTACCTAGTCAAAACTTTGAATAACCGCTGGGGAATTCATACCTGTACATTTTATTTATATGGAGCATTAGAATTGCTTTATTTGTGAAAATGTACTGTCTAGCACTACACGACCCAACCATTAGTAAACATATTTTTTCTCTAGTCACTTAAACTTTTGGATGAAAAGTTGAACAGATTTGGTAAGCTTTCAAACATGCTATATCGATCATTACTTACTCCTTGTATCGCAAAATGCATGAAGACGTACAAAGTCTTACTTAAAGTTTATATTTTTACAGGGAAAAAGTTTCTACAGTTTATCATTAGACCTATCGTCATTTTTCCGAGGTAAAATTCACAACTAAGCAACAGAAGTACAGACAGGCACAGTTATAACAGATTCACATATACAGTATTAAGATCACAAGCAATTCATCTGAGTTTTTCAATTCTTGGTTATATGAGATTTATATGTATATTGCCTGCTTCAACGGTAAATCATACTTCTAAATTTATTTTTGCAGATTAAAACCAGTTCATAATCAAACTGGCGAGGTATGTTGTGCGTTTTTTTTTATATTACCAAGTGTTTTAATGGCAGAATTAGTTCAAACGAACTGTACATTCATGAATTGTAAAGTTTGCAGTTCGATACGTCATGTGTTAATTATCCTTTTAGGCGTGTATATTTTCTTTCTCAAAAGATTTGACGAAGTCTTCTAAATTGGGAATAAGTATGTCGATTTTTTTTAAAAATGTTCATCCTCTAAAGGCCCATTAATACTAAGGAAAATTTCCGACACAAACTTTCGGTCGGATTTTCAAGTTGAAAATTTTCAATTTTAACAATGATACTTTCGGAAAATTTACTGTCCGTGGAAATTTTTCTCGAGTGGTAATGGGCCTTAACTCTTTTTATGATTAAATCATAACAAACAGTTTCAACTAAATAAACTGAACTAACTTTGGAGACCTCTATCAGTTTCAAACTAGTCTCGTAGAGGTCTAGTGAGCGGCGTCCCTATTCCCTTAATAGAGATATCAAGATTGACGAGGAAGCTACATGCACCAATGGCGGCTATTTATTCTTCAACCAAATGCTAAAATATACTATCTTACACTTTTAGCCATAATGTTAGAGAGGATAGGGCAAACTTTTGAACAACTTAGTGAAGCTTTTATGAATAGAAGCATTCCTGGTTCAAACGATGGACAAGAGCAACGATCTCTGGCATCGATGTTGGGTGAGATTATCTGGTCATCTCTTACTGAGATTATTATTAAAGATTGTTTGGAGAAATGTGTGCCCAAGACAAGTAGCCAAGTAAGGAATGGTCACAATTGCCATCATCACCACCATCTATCACAACACTACCATCGTCATTGTCATTACCACCATCATTATCACCACCACCATCATCACAACAATACTATATTACTGTTATTACCACCACCATCATCACCACCATCAACACACATTATCATTCATTACCACTATCCATCATTACCATCACTGTCATTACCACCATCCATCAACACTACCATCATCACTGTCATTACCACCATCCATCAACACTATCATAATCACTGTCATTACCACCATCCATCAACACTATCATAATCACTGTCATTACCACCATCCATCAACACTACCATCATCACTGTCATTACCACCATCCATCAACACTATCATAATCACTGTCATTACCACCATCCATCAACACTACCATCATCACTGTCATTACCACCATCCATCAACACTATCATAATCACTGTCATTACCACCATCCATCAACACTACCATCATCACTGTCATTACCACCATCCATCAACACTATCATAATCACTGTCATTACCACCATCCATCAACACTACCATCATCACTGTCATTACCACCATCCATCAACACTATCATAATCACTGTCATTACCACCATCCATCAACACTACCATCATCACTGTCATTACCACCATCCATCAACACTATCATAATCACTGTCATTACCACCATCCATCAACACTACCATCATCACTGTCATTACCACCATCCATCAACACTACCATCATCACTGTCATTACCACCATCCATCAACACTATCATAATCACTGTCATTACCACCATCCATCAACACTACCATCATCACTGTCATTACCACCATCCATCAACACTATCATAATCACTGTCATTACCACCATCCATCAACACTACCATCATCACTGTCATTACCACCATCCATCAACACCACCATCATCACTGTCATTACCACCATCCATCAACACTACCATCATCACTGTCATTACCACCATATCACCACCATCATCACCACCACCATCATCACCACCATCCATCACAACACTATACCATCATTACTGTCATTACCATCATCATCACCACCATCCATCACACATTACCATTCATCACAACACTATACCATCATTACTGTCATTACCATCATCATCACCACCATCCATCACACATTACCATTCATCACAACACTATACCATCATTACTGTCATTACCATCATCATCACCACCATCCATCACACATTACCATTCATCACAACACTATACCATCATTACTGTCATTACCATCATCATCACCACCATCCATCACACATTACCATTCATCACAACACTATACCATCATTACTGTCATTACCATCATCATCACCACCATCCATCACACATTACCATTCATCACAACACTATACCATCATTACTGTCATTACCATCATCATCACCACCATCCATCACACATTACCATTCATCACAACACTATACCATCATTACTGTCATTACCATCATCATCACCACCATCCATCACACATTACCATTCATCACAACACTATACCATCATTACTGTCATTACCATCATCATCACCACCATCCATCACACATTACCATTCATCACAACACTATACCATCATTACTGTCATTACCATCATCATCACCACCATCCATCACACATTACCATTCATCACAACACTATACCATCATTACTGTCATTACTACCATCATCACCACCATCATCACACATTACTATCCACAACAACACTATACCATCATTACTGTCATTACCATCATCATCACCACCATCCATCACACATTACCATTCATCACAACACTATACCATCATTACTGTCATTACTACCATCATCACCACCATCATCACACATTACTATCCACAACAACACTATACCATCATTACTGTCATTACTACCATCATCACCACCATCATAATCACCATCATTATCACCATCATTACTTAATCAATTTGTTCATTGTAGTTGGAGAAGTATGAAGACACGTTAGCATCTATTGCAAAATTTGAGACAACTCTAATTACTACAGGTATTGAAACTTGAATATCGTAACTCGATACTCTGCTACTCTAGTGTATAAAGTTTAATATGTTATGTCTTATGCAGGCTATCTTGAAGAAAACACAGACACACTTCAGGCTTACTGCAAGAATGTCACAACACATTTTTCTAATAAAAAGGTAACGCACATGCTTTATGCAGGGGTGGAAAAATATTTTTGTCAGACCGCAAAGTGAAAACATTTTCGGTTGTCCACACTTCGAGTGCAGTCAGCACTGTAAATCTTTGAAAACGGAATTCTGGCGTTTAAAAATCAAGTTTTGCCATTTGAAAAGGTAGTTCTGGGTTTTGAAAAGGGAGTTCTGGCATTTGAAAACCAAGTTCTAGTATTTGAAAAGGGAGTTTTGGCATTTGAAAATGTAGTTCTGGGTTTTGAAAAGGGAGTCCTGGTATTTGTAAAGGTACTTCTGACATTTGAAAACCAAGTTCTAGTATTTGAAAAGTTTGGAGTTCTGGCATTTGGAGTTCTGGCATTTGAAAAGGGAGTTCTTGTGTTTCAGTGTAATCTCCACCTGTTAAACTCTAGCACATCCTGTGCTAAACTAATTAAAGACTCGCATTATCAGCTCAAGTTATTTTATATTAAATAATTTTGACATGTTTCTAGTGTCAGGACTTGTTGTTTACCGCGAGGGAAATGTTAAAGTCGAACGTCAGTTTCCATAATTCAAAAATAATATCAATACCAGACAAACATAAACCCATTTCTCCACTGGATGATATATCTGGCGGAAAGACCAAGGATGAAAAAGACAGCAAGAAAGATGAGGTACCATTATCATCGTAATTATACCACCAGCATCGTTATCACCATAATCATTTATCATTACCATCATCACCACTGTTATCATCATCATTACTAACATCATTACAGGTTTTTTTTCAGGATTTTCTCTTGGGTCCGTTTTTGCAGAGAAAACTGAGTTTAGCTGAACAGATGGGGTGGTTGCACCCCCCCCCTACAGGGGGGCTGACACGTGTACTCAAATATGTAGTTGAGACGGAATGCGTTAAAGCAGGGGCACTGAGGCACAGTATAAACTGGTTAAAGGTGGCGAATGCATGGTTTTTCTTGTGTTGTGAGATGAATTCCAGCCATTTTTCTTAATTGTCGGGTTTCCAACTGAAAACTAATTTCCACACCGACCACACGTCACGAATTTAACTCAAACAACTTCATTTTTACTGCACTGAAACTTTGGTGAGAAGATCGAGTTTCAAAACTCAATTCAAGATTGAGTTTTTGGGGCCGTTTAACGGCCCTAAAAAATCCCTGAAAAAAAGCCTGCATTACCAACATGTTGTCCTCACTATGCCTATTATCATCAGCATCATCATTCCCACTCATCACCACCCGTCGTCACCACCATCATCATCACCACCACCATCATCACCACCACCATCATCACCACCACCATCATCATCATCACCATCATCATCATCAGCACCATCATCATCACCATCATCATCACCACCACCATCATCACCACCACCATCATCATCATCATCACCATCATCATCACCACCACCATCATCACCATCACCACCACCACCATCATCACCACCACCATCATC